CTTTCCCGGAGCTTTGGGGTTCCCAGGTCCCAAGCCATCCCTGTAGGCACGAGGGTGAATTGTGCCTGGAAAGTGACACAAAGGGGGGGGGGGCGACATGCCCACGGCTAAAGAGGAAGGTTCCCTCTCCTCACCAAGGGATTAGGCAATGTGAAAATGCAAACTCCAGAGCCGGCCCTTGCACGGACGGATTGAACTCCAAACCAAAGACAGGGCTTTGGGTACGTTGGCGAGTCAGAATTGCTAGCGGCTGGCAACTTTCGCGAACCTGCCTCCCATCCTGTGTGCACGCATCCGCGCCCAGGACCGGCAGAGTCCAGATTCACACCGCTGATGTCCACATGCCGCGACACTCAACTAACCTGGGCACAATGAGTCCCATGCCTTGCGGGGGGTGGGCCCTGCCTCTCAGCTGCAGGGCCTCAAAGAAGTCTCCTGAGCTCCCGGGGCCCTCCTTCCCGGCCATGGGAGTCATCCTGGAGGTGCCTACAGGGGAGGGCCTAAAAGTAGGGGTCCTGGGGTCTGCCTTCGGCTGCGAGCTGCCATGTACTTTAGGGACTGCCTGGAAGGTCCTTCCCGGGGGTAGGGCCCATGGTTGCAGGAAGGGCTCGGGCGGGACAGGGCGACACGGTCCGTAGTGTGGAAACAACGCTGTCAGATGGCTGGGAAGAAATACCACTACACTGGTCCCAGAAACCCAAGGGGAGAGACTTGGCTTAAAATGAACGGGTTTCCTGAGAAAGGAGCAAACTCCAGCAGATGAGACTGCTTTCGCTTTGCAGGGCTCCTTCCTCTATGGGGCTGGCTTAACTCTGGGCGCTGCTGCCCTCCCCGTGTGTGATGAGCTTGGTGCCTCAGGCCTCAGAAGGGTGTGTCCAAGGAAACCGTGGGGGCTTACCTGGCATTGCCATTGCCAAGTTGGATGCAAGGCTTTCATGTTGCAAAAGGCAATTAAACTAAAGCAACTGCTATGATCTCTTTCTGCCACAGTTCATCTGAACTAGAGCCCTGAGGGAGCTCTTCAGGCCACGTGTGACCAAACTCACTGCCTGCCTCCGCGCTTTTTGCCCAGCTGGGTCAGGAGCCGTGTCATGAGGCCCAGTGCTGCTGTGGGCAAGGCGGGGGGGGGGGGCGCGGAGGCGCGGGCTGGGCTCGGGTGCCTGATGAGATGGGGGAGCCATTGGGGACACCATGGAAACTTTGGAAAGTGGAGCTTTCCATGGAGCCTTGGGAAGTGTGGCTGCGGAGGGAGGGCAGGGGTGTGTCTATGTGTCTCTGCTCACACTTGCAGTCAGCTGTCCGGCACCCAGCTTGCTGCTCAGTAGTAAATGCGGGTGAACCCCATATACCATCTGGGGCCAGGGCTGTGAACCCTCACGTGCAGCCAGGGGAGTGACGCATTAGTGTGTGAGCGTGTGACTCGGGAGGAGCCGGGGTGGCTGGCGTCCCAGTGGGGGATAGGACTTCCCTCCCTGTTGGTTTCCATAAGACTGAAAGCGGTTATTAACAAATGCGCTCTCTGGAGTCGCTCACAAGGGCTGGCCTCCAGGCCGCAGCTGAGGTCCTGTCAAATGAGGTGGCGGCCATGGGGGACAGGTGCCACACCCCAGGTTGAGAATGAAATGGCCGAGTGAGCAGGGAGGGGGCAGTCCGGACCACCCTGGAGCTCGGAGGTCATTGTGTGTCGCTCAGGGAGCGGGGCTGGGTGTGGGAAGCCTGGGAGGGGGAGTCAGAGGTTGGCTAGAAGGTTGAGTGGGTGCGGGTGGAGGTGTGCTGAGCCCCAAGGGTCTCTGCATCTCTAACCCTCCCTGGTCACCCTTCTAGGGGCTCTCCTTTCCTTTTGGCTCCAGAGACAGTCTCTGGCCACCTCTTGGATTGGTGCCATGTGCCGGGACTCGTGTTGGTGAGCATTGTCACCTATCACTGTGGCCCTCGGGCTCCTTGTACACACCCTGCCCTGGGCCTTCCGCCCGGAGAGCCTCGGGTTCTCAGTGGAGTGTTGTCAGACCAGAGGCCTTGGTGTGCCCGAGACACTTGCTCCAGCCTGTGGATGAGGGCTGGACTGGCCGGGTGGTGGGTGAAGGGGAGAGGAGATCTCCTGTCAGAGCTCGGGCTCTCCTTGGGAAAACCCCGTGGCCTGTGACCCCTGCACCTTCTACAATGCGAGGCTAGGGGCTCCGCTGTGGTCTGGGCCCTGCCTTCCTTCTGGGAGCTTCCAAGAGACGGTGAGGGCCTGTGTTTGGTCATTTTTTTCACTGCGGCCACCAGGCCTTCCCCTGATTTGTACAATGAGGGTGCTGGGCTTAATGATTTCTCTAGATCCTCACAGAGTTCCAAACCAATCTGCCACACAGAGATGACGGCAGGAAATGGTGTTGGATGGCGGCTTCCAGAAGAAGGCACGTCCCCTGGTGTTGCCTGGTCCTCCAGCCAGCATCTTCCTCCACAGTGGGGTCCTTTCTGAGGTGCTGCTGCCCAATTGGGATGAGCCTTCTGGGCTGGCCCGTGTGGGCTGGGACACTGGGATCCCCTTGCTATCACACCAGCACCCTCCTTGGGCGGGACGTGCTCAGCTCTCCCTGCGGCCCCGTTACCTGTTCCTCACCAAGCAGCATGTGGTGTGGAAAGGACAGTGGCTCCCCCTTTTATTTCGGCCAGGCACTAGTTAGATCCCCCTGGAGTAGCTGGTGGCCAGTGGGAGGGCTGGTGTCTCTCACACGGTTCTTACCCGGACTGCTGGGCTCCCAGAACGGGGAAGACAGGGGTGATAGACGGCTGCAGAAGGAAGGAAGGTGCTAGGAAGAGGAGAGACAGAAGCTACCGCCAGGGAGGAAGCCCAAGGAGTCCGGAGGGAGCCAAGAGACGGCAGGCCTCGCCAGGGTCCCGGAGGGGAGGCCCAGGCTGGCCCCGGAGTGGAACAAGGCCGTAGGCGTGGAGAAGGCCTGAGGGGCGTGAGGAGTGGGGGCTGTGTCAGCTGCCTCTTCCACCTCAAGTCAACAGACAGATGGACAGACAGACAGACAGACAGACAGAGAGGAAGCGCAGAGAGAGATGGCAAAGAAACATGTGGAAAAAGTCAAGGGAGAGGGAGGGACAGGGGCAGGTCAGTATGTGCCCCTTCGGCACACCCACACCACCTCTTGTCCCTTCATTTCCAGGAAGGAATGTGCCCCTGTCTCAGGCGCACCCTGGCTGGCACGCCCCCGGGGGGCTGTGTACCGTTTCTGTCCTCAGTTGACAGTACTGAGCCCCCTGAAGACTTGTCTGGGTGGGCCTGGAGCTTTCCAGCCTTGTCTCTGATGGCTGTTGGCCAATATCTGTGGCCCGGGTGGGGGGCCCAGGGAGTGTGCAAGGGAGCTGGAGGTGTGTGTGGACTGTGGTTTGAGGGGGGAGGTGTGTGCACGCGCGTACATGCTGTCTCCGAAGGGGACAGTGTGGTCCAGCGGGGACTGGTGCGGCCCACATCCCTTCCTTAAAGGGCAGAGTGGCCTGAAACGACAGTGTGAACAAGAGGAGGGATGCCCCCCCACTGGGGACCTCTCACCAGTTCCTAAAAAAAGAAAGAAAGAAAGAAAGAAAGAAAGAAAGAAAGAAAGAAAGAAAGAAAGAAAAAAAGAAAAAAAAGGGGAAGAAAATACAAAAAGAAAAAAAAAAAAAGAAAAGACAAAAGGAAAAAGGGAAAGAGAAGAAATCAAGCAAAAAGAAAATCCCAGAGTCTGGTGAGGGAAAAAGGTATGGTTAACAGCTCCCGTCTGTGGGGAAGTGATGTGTTCACGTAGGTGAGAATTGCCAGGTTTCACTGGAAGGAAAGGAAAGAGGTAGCATCGAACCATCTCAGCAGGGGCTCTGGGCTCATACTGGAAGGTTTACTGCTTGGATTTTGAAATGTCGAGTTTGTTACAGAAGCAGGTGGCCGTGGGAGGGAGCAGGGAGCCCACAACGTTCCCTGCGTTCTCTCTCATTAGGGAACCGTGGGGCGGTGGGGTCTAAGAGCTTTCCCTTTGTCTTTGTAAAACGAGGTGAGCAAACACAGAGGTTTCTACCTCTTTACGACAGTCCCTGGGTTCTCTTTAAAATATGACTAACATGGTGGGAGGTTTCCACTGGAACATGTAGGAAGGAATCTATGTCCCAGCTTCTTGGAGGAAGGAGGAGAGAGAATATGGACCAGATCATGTTAAGACCTTCCAATCCTGACGCCTGTTTGGAAAGAGCAAAGGTGCTTTGGGAACAAATGGAAATGTGGCAGAGCGCAGGCTGGGGGTGTGAGGAGGACTCCTGTTTGAGGAGCACCTCAGACACCTCTACTCCCGCTGGCTCAGAGCAGAGGCCTACAGGGCAGGTAGCACCTGAGGACACGTGACAGCGGTCCCCTGAAGCCCACATCGCGTCTACTGCCTTTGGCAACCACCTCCAGGAGAGTTCTGGAAGCTGTCAGTTCAGTCCCAAGTAGGTGGGCCAGATTATTGCGTTGCGAACGATGCCAGGAAGGCACTCGCCCTCCCCTCCAGCCCCGCAAGGCAGCCCTGAGCCCGCATGCCTCCCTTTTGCGGCCCCACAGAGCACTGACTGAGGCCCCATCCTGCCACCAGACACCACGAGAAGCGGCCCAAGTTCGTGAAGAACTATTGGCAGATGCGGACAAGTTCAAGAAAAGGAAACCAATGACAGAAGGAATGAAAACCAAACAACCAAACAAAGAAAAGAACAGAAGGTCCGGCAGTGCCATGGGTTCAGTACATTTCATAAGAGGCCATGGCTCTGGAGAGGCACACCGTCTGGGCGGGAAGGACTGGACAGGGCAGTGAAGAAAGAGCGGAAAAGCCACGGTGAGCAGAGGATGCAAGACTGGAAAAGAGAGAAGGAAGAGTCGGGGAGGCTTTTTCTCCCCCAGAGATGCCATTTATGAGAGAAAAGGGGACTCAAGACTCACTCCCAGCGGCACTGGTGGGATTGGCAGCAGAGAGAATTACGTGAGTAGGGGTAGAAAGATTGGTTACGTCATGGAGCTGGCTGAGGACTGAAGACCGCCGGCGCACAGCACCCTGAAATGAACCGCTTCTCTTGAAGGTACTCACTACCTCCATCTGTGGGAGAGAAAATGAGATAAAGTTTGGCTTGCACTGCTGTCCCGGCTACCGCACGGGGGTGGGGTTGGGTGAGGACAGGGGCCACGCTGGGTGCACACTGTGACGGGAGGCGTCATCTAGGCCGCCCCGCGCCCTTGGAGCTGACAGTGCTTCTGACAGGGTCGTGGTCATGGCTGGGGCCGGCCTCCGTGTCATCCACCAAGAGAGGGTTTGCTGAGCAAATGATTAGCACTCAGAAGACCGGGAGGGCGGGGGACGAGCCATCGAGCCGTCGGGGGCGCACTGCGAGCGCTGCTGAAAGAGCCATTTGCATCCACCATGCGCTCTTTGCGAGCCGCTTGCTAACAAATACCTGTGTCTGGCAGTACTTTGCTCCCATTAGGACAAGGCTCCCTGTGGCAGTGCTCAGACGGCGTGGGGACAGGGGCCTTCGCTGGCCTGCGCTGGCCTGCCCTGCCCTGCCCCGAGCCGCAGCCTCATCAGAGTGATTGAGGCCAGTGCCCCTGTGGGAAGCCTCAGTGATTTAAAATGCAAAAGCTTTTGCTTTCCTTTGTCAGACTCCTTTCTACAGAGCCACAGGGCTGGTAGGAGGGACAGCAAAGAGACTGGGGGGGTCCCGGGAGCAAAGACGGCTTTTATTTGCCCCTCTCCCCTGAAGCTTCCTGGGCGTCAAAAGGGACATGGGTCTACAGGAAATGACAACCAGGGGGTGAACTCACTAAGAGTCCTAGGGTCTTCTGACTTCCTGACCCCGTCTTTGATGGCACGTGGGTCTGGGGGTGACTCAGACCTCAGACCTGTGGCTGAGTGGCTGCACTGAATGTTTCCGCACGGGGACACCATGTGCCTACGTGCTGGGAGGGCCCCAACATGGCACACCTTGGGTTGCCTCTTTGGGAAGGCCGGGTGTGTGTGTGTGTGTGTGTGTGTGTGCGTGCATGCAAATCTTTGGCTTTAGAAGGTGGACCTGCTTTCTGCAAAGTGCCATACAGTTCACTGGAGCGGCAAAGCAAATGTACAGTTCTGGAGCCTGGAGCCCATTGGCTGCCTACTCTGGGCCCAGAGCAGGCCGCCGTGTGCCACACCCAAGTCCCGTGGTGGCTTTGTGGTGGCTGCTAGGCTCAGCAGGGAGTCTGACATGGGGCCAGGCCTCTTGGAAGAAGGCAGCTTGAGGCTCACACTTCCCTCAGCCCAACACACGTGAAGATGTGCATCATTTCAAGCCCTCCAGGCACGGAGGAAAAGACTTTTGTCCTGTACTCTGCCGCCGAGCTCCCTCCTCCCCAACACACCGCACTCGTGAGCGGGGCGACCTCACTGCCAGGGCCGAGACCCATGCGTCATGCACACTAAGTGGCCACAGGGGGCTGGCACAGTGTCTAGCGTGCCCCAATACCCTGAAGGAAGATGGCCCGTGACATGACGCACTCTTACTGCAGCCAGGGCGACAGGGCGAGGGAAAGATGCTTTTCCTGCCTCTGATTGGACCCTTCTCCTCATGGTGTCCCGATGGGATGACAGTATCAATCAAAATACCTAAAATTTGCCCCCTGCCCCCCAAAACCCAGTTACTGCTGAAGCTTCGCGTTGGTTTATAATGGAATGTGAAATGGACCGCATCATGGATGCTTCGAAAAGCTCCATGTTCTGGCTTTCAAGGACTCTTTTTGATTCCAGAATGACCCCCCAACTGGTGCAGTAATATGTTAGTATGGAATGACGGTGAGAGCAGGTAGCAGGTTACAAAATGCCTTCACTCAGCTGCATACAAAGCTGTGCCAGCCTCCAAACCCCGCAACGCTATTGTTTGCAAAATCCAGAAATCTAGGGCCAGCCACCTAGAGCGTGTTCCCTTGGCTTGGGATGTACCTACAAGCTGGGGCACTTTATTTCTGTTTTTCAAGCAGGTATTTTGAATCAAAAAGAACAGATGCTTTTATAAAGTTAACTAAAGTAGCCTATCAGCTCAGCATTCTTGAGGAGGGTGGTAAATTTGATGTGACAAAGTGACAATTCTGTGGGGGAGTGAGTGGCTCTCTGGAGAGGACTATGCTAGGGGATGGAAGGTGGGGTGGGAGACTGTCACTGGGTGACATTGGGCACGTCCCTTCTCTCTGGGCCCCCTTTCATCATGTTTGAAGTAGGGGCCTCACTGGTCAGTGTCTACACGGGCCGTGACTCCCAGACTCTGACTGAGGAGGCCGGCTCTACTGGCCAGGCAGCGGTGGCAGGCCTCAGAGCCCACAGGCGCACAATGACACAGACACACCTGGCCAGGCACCACTGAGCCTTCCCCCCCCCTCCCCCCGCCCCGCCCCCAATGCCTCAGATCGAGCAGGGGCTGTCTCAGCTGCTAGAAACACGGCCACCACCTCGGGCTCACCAGTAGAAGTGAGCGGGCTGACCAGGGAAGGGCTGGCCAGAGCGCTGCTGCACACCCCCACCGTGTCGGGCTCAAGCTAGCTCCGGGTTCTGCAGCGCACTTGGGCGCAAAGAGGAATGAGCCACAGACCTGGACTCCTGCTTCTCCACTGGAGAAGCCCCTTGTATCCCTGGGGAGCTCCTTAAATTGGACTTATTTGGGGCCCCCTCACCCAGCCCTACAATATCCCCAGCCCTGCGGGCAGCCCAGGACTCTGCAGCTTTGGAAAGTTCCCTCTAGAGCATTCTGCTCCTCACTGATCCCAGTGCCCTGGGCACGTGAGGGGCTATGAAGGCGGGAGAGGGTGGCGGTCTCTGGGCTGCTGCAGGATGGGGGGGGCCCCGAGGGAGCACAGTGACGGCTGGGGAGGCCTGGAAGCACAGTGAGTGCACATCTGGAAAAGCAGAAGGGGTTACAGGGACATGGGGTGTGTAGGGTGACGCCAAGAGGCAGGGGCCTGAAGGCCATAGTCAGGACTCTGAACTTGACCCTTAAGACAAGAAGAGAGGCTACACGGGCCATGTGGTGGAGGGGGCATTGGAGGGGCTAGCTGAACAAAGGTGGGAGGAGCACTCGGGAGGCTGAGAGCTTATGGCTGGAGCTGAGGCTGGGGCCTGGGGAGGAAAGAAGTGGAGGGCCCTGAGGCTGAGCCCTGTGAGACTTCTGGGGACTATATGGGAATAGCGGGCAAGCTGTGTGTATTGGGAGCATCAGGCCGGGGGCAGGGTAGACCGGCTGCCGGGGGGGGGGGGGGGGGGGGGGGGGGGGGGGGGGGGGGGGGGGGGGGGGGGGGAGGGGGGAGGGGGGCGGGGCTTTGGGTGAGGTGCGTGAAAGATTCTTTGGGATGAGCTTGTAGTGATGTGTACAGGCTGGAGGCAGACACCGGGGACAGGTGTGGTCTGAAGCCATGCCCCAGGCCCAGGCTCCCCTCCGACCCCCACAACCCCTGCAGGAATGCAGAGAAGGGCGGGGCTAAGTGTATGGTAGTATGTTAGTGTCCTTCCCATTGGTGGGACCCCCAGGAGGAGAAGCTATTGGAACTATGTCAGGGGCAGGGGGGCTGGGGGTCCTGGACAGAACATGGAGAAAGGTCAGAGGCAGGGCTTTGGGAAGCACAGGAGGGGCAGAGAGTGACAGGTGTCACTGGGGTGCAGGGAGTCAGTGGGCAGTCAGTGGCTAGGCCGGGAGGATGGGGGGCAGGAGTGGCTGGATTGGGGACGTGCATTCAAGGGGGGCAGAGCTGAGCTGATGGGCCATGCTGATGCACCGGCTGTGTGGGGAAACGGGAAGAGCATCTGGGACGGCTCTGGGGCTCTGACTCGCTTGGTGGAGGTGACAAAGCCATCTGCCGGGAGCTGAGGGGTTGGAAGGACATCGGCTCATGGACTGTGGTCTGTGCCAAGCCCACTGTGGACACCTTGGATGAGGTATGGCACTCTGGGGGTTTCTGGTTGGGCAGAGGAGGAGATGGGGAGTGACCAGCACCGGGTCGTCGCCTGAAGGCTGAAAGGGAAGGAGCAGGTAGTGGGGAATTGGCCAAGAAGAGCCAGTATCCACAGGGCTGAAGGAGAGGCTGAAGTTGAGGGTGGCCAAGGTCTGGGGGTGAGCTCTCATGCTCTCTTCCTTCCTTCCCTGCCAGCTCCAGGGCCCCCAGGTCTGTGCAGGCCACAGCAGGCTGGGACCAAGGTCTCAGAGGGAAGTGGGGGTGCCAGGCAAGCGAGCATGAGGAGCAGACAGTGAAACGCAGGGACAGCAAGCTGCCACAGGGAGGGCGCTGGGAAGAAGCCTTGATGCCGGACGGAGGGCCAGCCCAATTCTGGGCACTCTAGGTCGCACAGACCTTGGTGAGAACTGCGTCTGGGACACTGAGGGCAGAGGCCAGGCTGCAGTGCGATCACAAGTGAGTGTGAGGAAAGATGCAGGAGGGAGTACGGAACATTCTGGCAAGAAGGCTAGCTGGGAAGGGGTTGGTCTGGCAGATGAGTCTCATGAAGCCTCGAAAGCGCCCATGGCTGAGCGGTCATTGTGACTACTTGACTTCATGGAGGCCTTGGGCCCCACCAGTTCTCAGACTTAGAGATTGAGACAAAGAGAAAGGACCAAGTCGGGGGCCAGAATCGGCTTCCATAGAATTCACGATATAACCCAATGCACGGTGAGCTCACCAAAGACTCTTTGTAATGGGCATCTATCTCCTCCCAAGAATGTCACCTCCCTGTCACCAGGCTGCTTCCGGCGAATAAGGCAAGGCCTAGCGGCCATGCAGATAGCGGGTGGCCTGCGCACCGTCCCCCCCCCAAAGAGACAACCACTGATCACAACACACATCTTCAGCTGGCACCTGCAGCCAGCACGGGGGGTGGGGGCGGGGAGCCGCCTGGGCTCTGACGGAAGTGTCACCGATGGGCCATGTCAGCCCCATGACAGCCGGCAGGCACACCCGGGGATGGCCGTTGCGACGGTGGCAAGGCCCAAGGGTTTCCCTGGTGATGTGGGGCTCATCTCGCTCACTCTGAGGCCTTGCAGCTCAGTGGTGGAGCATTTGGCTGCATCTCACTGTCCGCCTCGTGCTTGCTCGCCACCCACTCAAGGTGGGAGAGCCAGAGTAGCTGGGCGGCGCGGCGGCTTACCTGCGTCTGAATCCGATTGAGGCCCCGGAACCAGAGGATCTGGCCTCTGCGGAGCTCCCGCTCGGCATGGTCGATCTCTTCCTCCCCCTCGGCCAGCTCCTCGTCGGTCATCTCATCCTTGCCGGGCCCGTGCCCTGCTTCCTTCAGGCACTTGAGCTGGCTGGTGGGGATAGTGGCAATGACCTGGGGGAGGGGGGTAGAGGTGAAGGGTAGCAGGCACAGTAGCTGTCAGAGTGTGGCCGGTCCTTTCGGGGTAGGAGGTCTGCTGGGGCTGGGAAGGGACCCAGACCTCCCACCTCCCTCTGACGCAGGCTGCAGCTGGTGTCTACGACCTTGCACTCTAGCATCATGCACTATTGTTTCCTAAATGCCTGTTCCCTGTGGGCCGATCGGGGGATGGGACATCTTTTCCTGGTCCCCAAGGTTACATGCTTGGTGCCAAGTGCCCCTTTCCTCTGACCAGGAACGGTCCCTGGGGAGCAGGGCGTGGAGGCTGTGGGGGCGAGGGAGCGTTTTCCAGCGGGGGGAGGTCTTGCCTTGGCTCCCTGCTCCTGAGAGGGGACCTCTTAGGCCTCTGTCACATCCTGCCTGATGAGAGGGTCTCAGTTTCCCTGAGGGCCCTGCTGGGCCGTCTATGCTGACAGCGTGATTCCTGATGGGGCCCCGGCTTCACATCTTGGGGGCAGAGACTGAGGGTGTGAGGTCAGCTATGCGGGAGCCCCGGGCCCATAGGACTGACCCCCATTAAAGTCCCTAGGCCCCAGTGCTCAGGGAAGCTTCTCCTGAGGCGGTGCCGCCCAGCCCACTGTGTGCATCGTCACGTGTCATTGTGACGGGACAAACCACACACTGCCTCATGACCCTGCTGGCCAGGGACCTGGAAGCTCACTCCCGGTCTCTCCCAGACCCTGCCCTCCATACCCTTGATCTCGGACTTCCAGCTTCCAGAAATGTGAGAGGACAACGCTTGCTATTTAAGCCCCCCAGGCTGTGGCACTTTGTGGCCCGAGGTGACTAAGACATAGGGCAAAGTGGATCCTGCACCAATATTTTAGAACTGCAGAGCGATGCTTTCAGAAGCCTCTTGTGTGCCTGTGGCGTGGGCTGTTGCTTCCTAACATAATCATTGGGTGCCGTAAGTCTCCCTCTGTGCATGTCTTTAACTGTCAAGGGCTTCAGGTATCTAACTTGTGCGTTCCAGCATCTCAAAATATTTCTTCATTTTCCTCGACACTTTCTTTTGTCTCTTGGAGGATTTCACAGGGTGTTGTTTAGTTTTCACATCCGTGAGCATTTTCCAAGCCACCCATTATTAGGGGGCGATTTGGGGCTTTTATCACGGAAAGGGGCATTCTGGGGGATTTTGCTGGGGCTTTGTGACATCCCAGCCATGGCCCTTTGCCTTCTCTCCACTGACACTGCAGCCTGTGGCCTTGTGCCTGAGCTGTGGCATGGCCCAGGCCCGAGCCCTGCTGTGCGGTGCTGCCCACCCTGAACACACGAATGCTTTCCTAAGCATGGGCTCTGAGGAGCCACTCTCCCCCCGGCATTGTGTCCGGTGCTGGTGCTCTTGTAGACAAAACAGGGAAGGGTTGGGGCTGGGAAGGGTGACGAGGCAGACACTCACCTGTCCCCAGACCAGCTCCCCAACGCCAACGAACAGGCACCAGAGCCACTGCTCCGTGGACAGGGGGCAGCAGCTGAAGGGCTTTCCGCCGAACTGGACGATGACGATCTGCAGGAGTGGGGTGGGAGGGAGGCAGGTGTGCTGGCAGGCCCCGGCCAGGTGCGGCGACTGCTGCCCCCTCCTCTGGCCCTCAGGGCCCACTCTGCCCTCTAGGCCACCCCAGTCAGAGAGAAAACGGGCGTTGCATCCCCCAGGCAGATGGGCCTCTGGCCATGGCCCAGCTGATTAGCCACATTTCCAGCTTCTGTAAACGTGATGCTTTACCATGGGCCCCTCATGCGTGTGCTGGACATGCCTCGTTCCGGGTGCCCCAGTGACATGCCCAACCAGCCTTGCCTGGGGCTCCTGCTGCCTAACTGGCCCTTCCTAGGGAAGAGCCCTCCTTTTTGGGGTGAGCTTTTTTTTTAAATTTTTTTAAAAAAATTTATTTCTGTGAGAGAGAGAGACAGCATGAGCAGGGGAGGGTCAGAGAGAGGGAGACACAGAATCTGAAACAGGCTCCAGGCTCTGAGCTGTCAGCACAGAGCCTGATGCGGGGCTCAAACCCATGAACTGTGAGACCATGACCTGAGCTGAAGTCAGACGCTCAACTGACTGAGTCCCCCAGGCGCCCCTGGGGTGAGCTTTTAAAATACAGACCGAGCCATCCAGAGCCCACACCACAACCAGCTCAGTTACTGTGCTATCCTTTCTGCCCTAATTACCCAGGCCACGGCCCAGACAACCAGACGCAGCGCTATGCCCCCCAGAACCCTGAAATTAGTCATACTCGTGAGTCCTCAGCCTCATCACCCAACTGCAGTTTCTCCCCCAGACTCCACAGCAAAGGCTCCCTGCTCTCCCTCTGTCCCCAGCCGCCCAGGCGCTTCCCCAGCTGGTCCCCTCATGGGGTGGCAGGCCCCCTCCTTTGAGCAAACGATCCTGGCCTGTTGTCCTCACTCTATCTATGTTTGAATGCTCAGACTCCTGAACATTCACTGACCAGCCTGTCCACAGCACGGAGGCAGGCAGAGGTTGCTTGGTCAGCACTGGGGATAGAAAGCATTCCAAAGGAAACTTCTAGAGCTATGATAGTCCCCCAGCAAGGAACTGAGCACTGGAAATGAGTGGCAGACCCAGAGGGAGCTATGAGGAGGCTTGTGCTGAGGAAGGCCCTGGAAGGCTGGCTGGAAGCCAGCAGGTGAATGTTCTGCAGATGAGCACAGAGGGCATGGGGTCACCAGGCATGGCAACGGGGGCTGGGAAAGCAGGAGGGGCGGAACTGGTTCCGGTTCTGTGAATGGGGATGGGGAGGCCAGCAGCGGGCGTGGTCCCCTGCTCCCCTGTCTCCTGCCAGAGTGCAGAGGCCCCCCCGCTACCTGAATTGCAAAGGTGCCCAGGACGATGGTGCAGAAGATGGGGTTGCTGAAGATGCCGTGGAAGACGTTTCGCTCGCCGTGAATCTTGCGGGCATTGATCTCGTTGAAAAGCTGCATCATGACGAAGGTGTTAAAGATGATGGTGTAGTGCTCTGATGGTGGAGAGTGCAGGGGTGCGTTCCTCCCACTGTCGATGTCAAAGAAGAGCTCCCCTGCAAGCCAAGGGGCACGTGAGGGCGGCGGAAGCCCGAGTGGATGCAGCTCCCAGTCAGTGTCGCCTGAGGAGTGCTGGGGGTCTGTGGTGGGGCCACGGGCAGCCCCAACCCTGTGGTGACAAGGACTTGGAGGGAAAGTAACGGGTCTCACTCCACAACGTGAGCTCACCCCTGGAACAGAGGTCTGGCACGGAAACCTCGGGTCATGACTGAAGAAGACAAAATGTGCACACTGGGTTGACTGGGGCTGGGCGGGGGAGGAATCGCGGGCCACGGGGTGTGCTGGACCCTTCTGCCCTGTCCCCAAGACCGGGCAGCTAGGCGTAGGCCCTCAGGCAGGCCGTGAGAGGCTTCTGCTCCCAAGAAATCAGAGAGAGGACCCCCCGATAGTGACATTTGTGGTCCCCACACACTGTCCCTCCTGCCTCTGCCCCGCGCCCGGGGGGGGGGGGGGCAGTGTTGGTGACTCGTACAGCGCTCTGACATAAGGCAGAGACGCCACAAGCAGATAAAGCAACAACACCACCCCTGATCCAAATAAAGGAAACTGCTAAATGGAGCCGGAGCCAAGCTGGTTCTAAATGCCCAAGAAGGGTCAAGGCCAGCTCAGCTGCTATGGGCCACGTGCACTTGCCTGCTCTCCCTGCCCCCCACCGCCCACCACAGCTGCCTTCTCTTAATGCCCCTTTCTTCTTACTTCCTGACACGTACTCCTCTCCCCTCCTCTTCCTTCTCTCTCCCTCTCCCCCTCCCTTCTTCCACCTCCTTCTTCTTCCTCCTCCCTCTCCTTCCTCCTTCTCTCCCCCTTCTCCTTCCTTCTTTCCTCTGCCCCTCCATCCTCTTCTCTGCCTTCCCTTCTCTGCCTCACCTCTACTGTCTCTCCCTTGCCTACCCCTCCTCTTCCCTCCCCCCGCCCGTCCCTCCACCTCTTTTTCCTGGTCCCCCTCTTCCCATAGACTCCGGCCCAGTGCTCTGTCCACTGTCGCCTGGAGAAATGGTCATGGGGTGAGTGAATGGATGGGTGGCACCCCCGTGGGGCCTGCACAGAGAGGGGCAGTGGGGAGGTGAGGGTGGAGGGGTCCGCACTGGAAATTTGGTTCATAGGTGCTCATCTGTCCCTTCCACTGGCAAACAGGGTCTGAAGCTGCACGGCTGGCGGCGGTGCAGGGCGCCCCAGGGCCAACCTACCGACGAACAGCAGTGTGAAGATGATGGTGAGCTGGTAGACCGCGTGGCCCAGGATGTTCTTCATCATGGTGCGGGAGATCAGGGGCTTGTCCCGGCCGTATGGTTTCCGTAGCAGCAGTGACTCAGTGGGTGGCTCTGTCGCCAGGGCCAGAGAGGCAAATGTGTCCATGATCAAATTCACCCACAGCATTTGCACGGCTTTGAGAGGAGAGTCCTGTGGAGAGGAGGCAGTCGCCCTAACACGGGGCCACTCCAGGGGGAAGAAGCTCAGCATGGGAGCAACCTCACGGGGATTCACCGCAGTGAAATGTGGCAGATCTGACCTTCCCATCAAAATGTAACCTCTCCATCCCTGTGGTAAGGTTAGCAGCGAGTTTTTGAGGGCTTTTGGATTCCTGCTCTGGAAATGTTGCAAGCCTCCCTTTTCTCACCTGGTGGCAGCGATCTAGAAGGTGTGGTCCAAACTGACAGCCCGTGTGTTAGCCCAGACCGTGAGGAAAGGGCTTGACTGATGGGTACTCTCCCGACCTCCCACACCCAAGGGCAGGAAGACGCAGGAACTCCACACTGCACTTTCCTTCTCCTCGCTTCCAGGTTGGTTAAAAACCAGCCTCACAGAAGGCAGACACTAAGGGCCATGTACTGTGTGATTCCATTGCTATGAAACTTCCAGAACTGAGAGATCCATAGAGACAAAAAGCGGATGGGTGGGTGTCAGGAGCTGGGGGCAGGGTGAGTGGGCGATGACTGCTTCATGGGCACAGAGGTGACAAGAAGGTTGTAGAACGAGATGGAGGTGGTGGTTGGACAACATTGCTAACGCACCAAAGGCCACTGAATTGTGCACTTTCAGATGGCTACTGTGGTGCAGTTTGTGTTATGTGGGTTTTATGTCAATTAAAGAAACTTTCAGAGGGAGACAAGTTCTGGACACTCACTACTGGGGACAATGAGACTGCTGGAAGGCTAAATACGGGGTTCCCATCGCAGCCCGCACCTCCAGTCCTCGCTCCGCACCTGAGACAAATGAAGACGTAGGGCCACACCAAGACTCATATGCGCATGCTCGCGGCAGCATCAGTCACACTCCCCAAAAGGTGACAGTGCCCCAGATGCCCGCTGATGGAGGAAGGGACAAATGAAACGTGCTCTCTCCATACAACTATTTTGCCATCAAAAGGAACGAAGTACCGATACTGGCTATAACACGGAGGGACCCTGGAAACATCATGCTGACTGAAAAGGTGCCAGACATGAAAGACCACATGTTATTTGACTCCCTTTATATGAAATGTCCAGAATAGGCAAGTCTGTGAAGACAGAAAGCAGATGCATGGTTGCCAGGGAATGGAGGAAGGGGTGGGGAGTGTGTGCTAACAGGCATGGGATCTTCTCAGGGGTGACGAAAATGTTCTGAAACTAGACGTAGGCAGTGGTCGCACACAGTGTGTGTGTACGGAATGCCACTGAACTGTGTACTCTCAAATGATGAAGTTTTTGGTATGTGACTTTTACATACACATAAAAAAAAATCTGCCACAAAGAAAACACCTGGCCCCCACAACTCCCGGGAGTGGGGCTTCTGGGGCCTGCTCTCCACACTGGGGCCCAGGTGCAGGAGGCAGACGGGGCCTGGGAAACCAGCTGCCTCTTGCAGTCCCCGTGCCTCCCGGTCCCCAGTGCCCACCTGAGTAATGCAGGCCCCCGTGAAGGCCACGATCACAGCCACCACGTTGACCGTCAGCTGGAACTGCAGAAACTTGGAGATGCTGTCGTAGACGTTCCGGCCCCACATGACCGCCTTGACGATGCTGGTGAAGTTGTCATCGGTCAGGATGATGTCTGAGGCCTCCTTGGCCACATCAGTCCCTGCAATGCCCTGGGGGGCACACACACAGTGTCCACGGGCTCCTTCCCCAGCCCCCTTGACCACCCAGCCCACCCGGGCTTACTGTCTGGCTTCCCTTCCACATGAGGCTCCCCGCCAGCTGCCAACACATCTTGGTTCATCCTGTGCGACTTGGTACTACGAGTGGGCAGGTTGTCCCATGCCTGGTAAGGGCCTTTGCTCATAAGCAGAGAGGGTGTTGCTGCCATGGCCACCACCATGGCCTCATGCGCGAGGCCCTGCTGCCACCATGGGACCACCAAGCAGTCTTCTGTCCAGTCTTACCATGCCAGAGCCGCCTGCTATATAAGGGGCTCCCGAGTCCTGGGTGGGGATGCCGTCGGCAGAGCAGGGACACGTCCTGCCGGCCCGCGCAGGTGTCTGCTGCTCACAGCCCCTGATGCAGGGACAGCTGCACACCCTGTCCGCCACCCTGAGGCCAGGTCCTGTGCAGCTCAGCTTGGCTCTCACAGTGCCTTGGGGCTGTGGCTTGGTGCCCTTCTAGGACCTGGGCTCTGAGAAGGAGTGGCCTGTGCCCCTGGTGTCTGCCCTCAGTGGGCCACCCTGAATGCGACAGGGTGAAGGGGCTCCTTCATGGTAGGTGGGGAAAGGGGCTTGCTCGGTTTGTGCCTTCAGTGACGAAGCTCGCTGCAGAATGCCATGGTGCCAGGGCCAGCCACCCGGGCAGTGGGGTCAGGGTTTTATAGAAATACTGAGCTCCGTACAAGCAGCCAGAGAGAAACACAGAGGAAAAGCTCATTTGGGGACTCCAGTCATCACCCCTGGAGCTGAGGTTCGCTGAGATGGCACTGGCGGTGGCCGAGACAGGTGCACAGCTGACAGGCCCCACCCCCCCACCCCTCAGGCCCCACTGTCACCTTGGGCATCCCCACACCAAATGCCTTTAAACAACTCACACGTGTGTCCTGTGACCAGATGAGCCCATGGAGGCCCACGTGGCTAGGATGTGACATACAGACTTCAGCACTCGGCAACCTGCGTAACGCCAGCCCCCACCTTTCTGCACAAAGCCAACGTCCTTGGAGGCACAAGGCCCTGCCTGGTGCGGTGAGCCAGGCCGGCACTGGGTGGCTTACCATGGCAAAGCCCACATCTGCCTTTTTGAGGGCTGGCCCGTCGTTGGTGCCGTCCCCGGTCACGGCCACCACCTGCCGCTGTTCGCCGGTGCTGCTGTCAATGATCCCTGGAATGCAGAGTGGGTTCCTGTCTGGGGGCTGTGCAGGGGACTGGTTGACTCAGGACACCCTTCGGGATTGTGACTGTGCCAACCAGCCCCAATCCCCTGCCCTTTTGTTGCCTTTAGGGTCGAGTTCTTGTACCTTGACCGGCAGCTTTGCTCCCCTCCTCCTGTCCTAGCTCATCCCCCAGTGAAATGATACAGGCTGGTGTGACTGGGTGGGAGGCAGGTGGTGAAGTTGCCATTGGTCAACTATGAAGGGTCAGAGGTCAAGCACTCTGTGACCTGGAGAAATGTCTCCCTCTCCTGGGCCTCAGTTTCCCTATCTGTTACAACGTGAGGCCATTCTCTAGTGGTGTCTTCCACTCATGCTATCAGCCAGAGAAGCAGAGGAGTGAGCCCTGACATGGCAGCCCTTTGAGGGCATCACCATCATTATCCCCATTTTCCTGATGAGGAAACTGAAGTTCAGCGAGGGCTTGTCCAGCAGCAACACCGCAACACGTGTACAGCCCAGGACCCCACTTCCTCAGCAGGCCCTGGAGCTTGGCTTTGGGAGCCCGGGGGAAGAGCACACATGGGGCTGATGGCCACACCCAGCCTGCGTCATGGCAGCTCAGGAAGGGGCACGGACAGGGGTGAGCAGGAGTGAGCGAGCTCCATTACCTTTGACCAGAGTATGCTTGTCAGTGGGAGATGACCGGGCGAGGACCCTCAGCTTGGGCCACACCTTGTCCAGACGCTCCTGTTCTATCTGGGAGGGGGAAGCACACAGATGCTGCAGAGCCTGAAGGCGGGGAGGGGGCGGGTACCGAGCAGACGTGGGGGGAGACACAGCCAGAACCCCGGACTGAGGAGGGAGGTCAGCAGAGCCAGAAACTACCTCGCCTTTCTCATTGCGGATCCGTCGGTTGAACTCCTTCCCCTCCAGGCACAAGAAGTCCTCCCCGGGCTGGATGATGCCGCACTTGGCCGCGATAGCCCGGGCCGTGTTGATGTTGTCCCCAGTCACCATGCGGACTGTGATGCCAGCACGCTGGCATTTGCGGATAGCCTCAGGAACCTGGAAGACATGAAAGAGATGGGTGCGGTCACTGAGGCAAGACTCATCTGTGTCTGGGCTGTGTCTTCTCCTCCGTCCAGATCGGAGGACACTCCTCCAAACGTGGTCTCCACGAAGGGCATCTGTGGGGGAAGATGGCCTGTCTGCTCTATCGCCCTGTCTGCGGCGCGCAGGGTCCCCCCATTCCCTCAGCACAATCCCCCCCCACCCCCCGACCCCAGGTGCCTCCTTCATTATGCTGGGCCTCAGGACCAGCGACGACTTGGGCCCAGGCCCCAACACAAGTAAAGCTGGGAGAAGTCACTGGAAAGGTGACCATAGAAATCACCCAGCTGACCAGGCTGGCTGGCAGGGTGGTGTATCGCTCAGCTCTGGAAGAATGAGAAAGGAACCTCTGTCCCCAGCTACGCTGCCAGATGGCAAGGCCAAGGGCAGGCCTGTTGCTTTGGGGCCCTGACTCAGGGCAGGCTCCTGGCCATCAGCTGGCTTGTGGCCAAACTCTGGACACTTCTCACTGTCCTCCCCCCAAACTCCGCCCCTTTTTACAGTATAGAACCAGAGGCATCTCCAGCCATAAGTTTTACATGATAAGGTACTTTCACTACTTGCAACAAGTAGACGCGTAGTTGAGGTAGAAGGTGGGGGGCAGGCCGGTTATGGGGGTATAGAAATGGGTGTGGCCAGGGTCCTGGGAGTCCAGGGGCATTGCCCTCCCGGGTCTGTGAGGTGTTCTGACACCTGTCAGCCCATGAACAGCACTGAACACCAGCCAGGGGCCTGCGGCCATACAGGGGTAGGGGTGGGGTGGTGAACAGCTCCATTCAGAAGGGGGAGGCCATCAGGTCTATGTGAGGTCAATGCAGCTTGACGATTCGGCTCTGCTGTGTGGACACAGGCTTACTCATCTGGGCCTCAGTTTCTCCCTGGCCTGATGAAGGGCAAGTCCCAGGCCCTGTGGCTTCAGCGGTGGCCCTGTCACCCAGAGCAGCATCTACTCCTGCTCTCCCAGGCTGCTGCTTCCCCTGTGCACCTTAGCGAGACCTGCTCCTCTGGCTGGAAGTCTCTCCCCTCCTCTCTGCTGCCATCTGCTTCCGCTCAGGCCAGCTTCCAGGGCCCCCTCTCTGCACAGAGAGGCCCCGGTGTCCTCAGGGTGTGGGGTACACTGTTGCTGGTCACTGTGTAGATGTAGCAAGCATCGGCTTTGGAATCCCAGTCTTAGGTACCTGGTCCAGTATGTCAGTGAACACCCGTCTCCTGAAGGAGGGTCCAGAAGCCTCTCCTCCGTCGTCTCAGCACCGCTAAGGGCAGCCCCCACACGTACATGTTTTCAGGCTAATCAGCAGGATCACAGTGGCCCTGCTTCTGACCTGAGATGGGTGCCACTGGAGAGGCCCTGGGAGGAGACAGAGGGTCCCTCCCTGCCTCCGGCAGCCTGCACCCCTGTGGCGGCGCTCTCCCTGTGGGGCCCAGTGGGCTATAGCTGCCACGGGCGCCTGCCCCCGGCCCAGCCCTGTCTCAAGGATCTCCCGTCTTTACCGACCGGTGACACTCCCCTTTGCTTCTTTGCTCTACAGCCTGTTTGGCTTCTGCCAAGTTTCTCTGGTCCCTCTTCAGAAAAGCTCTTGGTAAAGCTGTCTACACACGCTGGCTCCTTGCCTGGCCCCTTCCTTCAAGTCTCTTTGCAGGCTCCTCCCACCTCTGTGCCAGCTGTACACTCATCCTCTGACATCACTCATATAAACGTGCTTCTGGGATCTCTCTCCGGCTAGGGCCTTCTGCTCGGAGTGCTCCACTCCTGCAGCCACCTGCCCACTTGACAGCCAAACCTGTGACCGGGGACTGCCCTCTGTCCCCCAAACCTGTGTCCCCTCAGACTCCCTGCCCAGTGCCATCTCTGAACCAGAGCCCTGGGAGCTGTGCCTGACTCTCCCCTGTCCCTTGCCACTCCCTCCAGTCCGTCAGTCCTGCGGGGAGGTCTGACCTGGAGGACCCCGAGGCCCTGCCCTCGCCCACCTTTCCTATCCTTTCTGGAGTCCAGCAGGAAGTAGTGTGATAGCGGGGAAGGCATGACAAGGGGGCCGTGCCACAGAGGCCACACGCGAAGAAGGGCTGCCCCTCTACCCATCCGATGACCTGGGCTGTTCACAGAGAAGAGAGTGGCTACCTCGGGCCGCACAGGGTCCTCGATGCCCACGACGGCTATGCAGGTGAGGTCACCCACGACCTCGTTCTCATTGTCCCAGTCGGGTTCCTGAGCTGCAGAAAAGTCCCGGTAGGCAATACATATGGTGCGGAGGCCATCGCAAGCCATGGGCTCAATGATCTTCTTCACCATGTCATCCCGGTCCCGAGGGCGAAAACCGCGCAGTTCCCCGTTGCTGTTCAAGATGTTGGTGCACCTGGGGCGGGGACAGAACGACAGGCATTGGTGCCAATGAAGCGAGGGGAGCCGGAGCAATGGAGAGTCTCGGCAGGCATTGGTCTGAGCCTTCCGTTCAGCATGGCAGAGAGGCTTGTACGAGGAGGGAGGCATTCTGCTTCTCTGGGGCCTAACGGGGTACCCTCCCCTCTCCTCTGAGAACCTCAGAATGTGACCTGATTTGGAAATACGGTTGTTGCGAAGTTAAGATGAGGTCATACTGGTTTAGAGTGGGCCCTTAATCCAATGACTGGTGTCCTTATCAAAAGAGAAGAGGGCACACGGAGACGCAGGTGCACACAAAGACTGCTGGCCATTTCCACAAGCTGGAAGAGACAAGGAAGGGTCCTTTTCTGGAAGCTTCGAAAGGAGCATGGCCCTGCCCACACCTTGATTTTGAACTTCTGGTCTCCAGAACTGTGAGAAAACAGATTTCTGTGTGTTTAAGCCATCAGGTTCATGGTCCTCTGTTCTGGAAGCCCCGGGAGCTAGGAACTCATAGACTGGTTTAGGTGAGGAGACCCTAGGGTGCAGGGCTCACCCCAGCTCCTCACGGGGTCTTTGGGACTTGGGGTACCTTGCACTTGCCCCGCTAGGCTTTAGGGCAAGAGTGTGGAGCATTGGCAAAAATGCAACACCGTGGAGTGTGGCCATGAGAATGAAGCAGCAGTGCTGTAAGTGCTGGTGACCCCTGGGGTGGGGGCACCAGCATGGTTCAAGTGCAGAAGAAGAAGAAGCAAAGGATCCAAGGACCCCAGAGGCACGCATGGCACAGGGGCGAATGCGAGTCCTGGACAGACTGATGGAGGAGGAAAGAAGGGCCTGGCAGGGACTCTGGCCTTGTGGAGTCACTCAAGTAACTCTCACAACATTCCCAGGAGGTAAAGATTTCTGTCGTCTCCACATAGGGGAAACTGAGGCTGTGCCAGGACAATGACTGGATGTTTACACGGCCAGCAAATGGCAGAGCCAGGAGTGGAGCCTGGCACCCAACTATAGTAGCTGGCAGAGGAGAAGGAAGCTCAGAAAGAGAGCTGGGGCCTTCAAACCCCGCCACCGTACCTCTTGGGATGCAGCAGGAGAGCTTCCGGGGGGAGGTGGCCTCTGCACCCGGGCAGTATGTGCCTGGGGCAGAGTCTTGGGGGAGAACATTCGTGTCTTAGAAGATGGCCCTGGAGAAAGTGAGGAGCGAGGTGGGCAGGGCAGGGTGGGGGGGTGGCTTGGGGAGTGGGGCACTGGGAGGCGGAGCTCCATGCTTCCCCCAGTCAGTTTTTATAACAGCTTTATTGAGATACAATTCACACACCATATAATGTATCCATTTAAAATGTGCAATTCAGGGGCGCCTAGGTGGCTCAGTCGGTTGAGTGACTTCAGCTCCGGTCATGATTTAACAGTTCATGGGTTAGAGCCCCACATTGGGCTCACTGCTGTTAGCATGGAGCCTGCTTCAGATCCCCTGTCCCCCTCTCTCTCTCTGCCCCTCCTTAGCTCATGTGCACTCTCTCTCTGTCTCTCAAAAATAAATACACATTAGGGAAAAAAGAATATTAAAAAAATCCTTCCTCCTGGGTGCCTGGATGTCTCACTTAAGTGTCCGACTTCGACTCAGGTCAGGATCTCGGTTTGTGGGTTCGAGCCCTGCATCAGGTTCTCTGCTGTCAGCATAGAGCCTGCTTGTGATCCTCTGCTTCCCTTTCTTTCTGCCCCACCCCCACATGTGCGTGCTCTCTCTCTCTCTCTCTCTCTCAAATAAACCCTACACAACTGACACAAGAAATAAAGAGATAAACCAGATTTCATCATGTAAAAACACATGTGAATCCAAGGATGAATGAAGACAGTGAAAAGGCATTTGCAAATCAGGTATCTGCTAAAGATCTAGTATCCAGAATATATCGAGAACCCTTCCAGGTCAACAACAGAACCATGAATAATTCAAATCAAAGATGAGCAAAGGACTTGAATGGCTCTTTCTCCCAAGAAGACACAAATGGCCTGAAATTTGGCCATTTCAGGGTCGACATCCCTAGTCATCAGGGAAATGCAAACCAAGCCCCCGTGGGGTCCCAGCTCATAATGTGGGAAACAGTTTGGTGGTTCCTCAGAAAGTTAACCTGTGTCACCGCGGGACGCAGCCTTCCGCTCCCAGGAATGCGCCCAAGAGAACTGAGAGTATATATCCCAACAAACAGCCGTACATCCATGTTCACGGCAGCGAGGCTCACAGTAGCCAAAAGGCAGAAACCAGCTGGGTGCCTGCCAAAGGCCGAATGGATAAGGAAAATGTGGTCTATCTGCACAATGGACTAGAGCCCAGCCAGCAGAAGGAACGAAGCACCCATCTCCACTACAACACGGATGAACCTTGACAGTGTTGTGCTCTGTAGAGGCAGCCTGACACACAAGGCCATACATTGTATGATTCCGTTTAGTTTATGTCAAATGGCCATGACTGGCAAATCCATAGAGAAAGGACATGAATGGCTGTCAGGGGCTGGTTGGGGGCGGGGGATGGGAGTGACTGTTTACGGGGACAGGGTTGCCTTTCGGGGGAGATGACTTAAACGCTCTGTTAATGTGCTACACCGGGAATATACTTGCCGCCACTCCGCTGTAGGTTTTAGCGCGATTACGATGGTCAATTTCATGCTATGTCTATTTTACCGTGAGAGTAAACTCAGAAGCCTGGTACTCTGCAGCCCCCAGCCCTTGGCTGCCTCTCGTTGCCCGCTCACTTTTTCAGCAGGATCTCCGAGGCGCCCTTGCTGAAGAGGCGGAAGCCGCCATCAGGCATGCGGATGACCGTGCTCATGGACTTGCGGACCGAGTTGAAGGTGTACACTTTGTAAAGTTTGTCTTCTGGAATCTGCTCCCGCACAGGCTGGAAGTCCCGCTTCAGGTCCAGGACAAAGCCCAGCAGAGCACACTCCGTCTTGTTGCCCACTTGGCGTGGGAGAGCGCCTTCCTTCTCTGGAGGCTACAAGGCAAGGAGAACCAGCGTGGCACTGGGTGCCCGAGTCCGCCCTCCTTGCTGCCCCCAGGACCCTAGCCTGGCTGTGGCCACCATGTCTTTAGGGTATGGTGGCATGGAGCCGAGGAGGGCCTCCACGTGGAGCAGACGGGCAGGCTTGCCAGCATTTACCAGGCTCGGAAGGGGTTTCCAAACCCTGCACGTCCTGCCTAGCAGCCAGGACAAGAGCCCAGAGATGAGATGGAGGGCAGTCAGCACCCCCAGAGACCACCGTAGCTCTGGCCAAAGGTTCTTAAGACAGTCCAGAGAGGCCCTGGTGGCCGCTGACGTCGCAGTCTCCTGCCCGGCCCCCTTCCCTCACCCCACCCCTACTTGGCCCCGCCTGCCGCCCGCTCCCTGCTCACTAGTATTTTGGTGGTGTAGGCACTGTTGATGGAGATGGCGTCGACCAGGAGGTCGAGGATCTTGGGGGTCAGGGTGCTGGGGGCTGGAACCTCTTTGTAGTGGGTGTCCCCGAGGTAGGACTGGACCACGGTCATACGGTTGGTGGTGAGCGTGCCCGTCTTGTCTGAGCAGATGGCTGTGGCATTGCCCATGGTCTCACAGGCATCCAGGTGGCGGACCAGGTTGTTGTCCCTCATCATTTTCTGTGAAGGGCATAGACGGGGGCTTGGGTAGCCAGCTGTCCTTGGAAAGGATGGCCCGTGGGGTGGGGGAGCAGGAGGTCATCAGCCCGTTATGCGTGACTCTGCTCTGCCCAGCCAGCTTTCCATGCGGCACTAACAGCCCAGGGGGCCTCAGTCGGCTGGCATGTACCCTCACCGCCGGGCACGGCTAGGAGCGACGGCAGAGCGGGAGAACTCGCGGGAGACAGGCCAGGCGGTCGACTCTGGGCGCTCCTTCTCCCCAGGGCTCACCTGGGGCCTCCCTGCTGCCCCAGACAACCCCCCCGGCCACAGCCCCCGCTCAGCCCATCCACTGTCTCTGTGCTTGCCCCGCCTGACAGAGTCTCTGCCATGCTTCACCCACGGTCTCTCAGTGTTCTCGGCGTCACCAGATAACCTTTCCCCCTGCACCCGCTTCCGCAAGGGACAGCAACGTCCTCAGCTTCCTGCCATCATCCTGCAGATGCTAGGTCTATCCCACCGCCTGACTGCTGTCCGGCTCATCCCAGCCACCCCACTCTCCCCCCTCCTCCCAGACTGACCCCAGGTTGCTTAATGGCTTGGAACTCCAGTTTCTGGGTCTGCTTCCTGGTATCAAGGCATTCTCACGCGTACTGTGTTTAGTATTATTACCTTGACAGAGTAGGCTAAGGAGATGGTGACAGCAAGAGGCAGGCCCTCCGGGACGGCCACAACCAGTACAGTGACACCAATGATGAAGAACTTCACAAAGTACTGCACGTAGACGGGTGTGCACTCCGCCAGCCACACTCGGCCGTCCACGACGAAGGTCTCGATCACAAAGTAGAGGACCAGGATGATGACGGTGATGGCAGACATCACCAGCCCTGCCCAGCCACGGAAGCCATGGGGGGGGGGGTGCAGGAAGGGGAGGTGGCCAGGGTGATGGAGGGAGAGAGCAAGAGTGAAGGAGTGGTAAGGGAGGCTGCAGACAGTGCCAGGTCCAGCTAAGTCGGGGGAGGCACTCGGTCTCCAGCCTTGTGGAGGCTTGGAAGCCATGTTTTTGGAACGGGGGGCTGGACTGGCCCCTGCCAGCCACGGCCGGCCCCTAGCGGGTCCCCTCCCTGCCGGGCACCCACCACCTGGAACCTCCGTTTCCCGTTTGCTCTCCACTAGCCCGGCCTCAGGCCCGGGAGCCCAGTGGCCTCGCCCCTCGGTGGCCCCTGGACCACCCGTCGGCTGGCCCTACCTGCTTTCCCGATCTGCACGGCCAGTTTGGTGAGCTTGCCCTGCAGCACGGACTTCTCCTTCTTGGGCACGCTGGCTTTCTTCTTCTCTCGTTCCTCCGTCTCCCCCCCCTCTGCACTCTTCAGGGGCTGCATTTCCATGGCAACTGCCCCATCCTGCTTCTTAGCTGTGCACAGAGGAACCCCACAGCCAAACTCAGGGCCCAGGCAACAGCGGCCAGGGGCTCTCCCAGGGAAAGACATAGCACACCATACGAGAGGAAACGGGGCTCAGGGGGTTTCTCTGACTTCGGAGTGTCACCTAGCCCAGGGGCTCTCCCCTCTCCCGTCTCCCTGGCTGCCCCGGCCCTCCCAGGGTGGTCAGTGCAGACACGGTCCTCCCAGGGCTTCTCAGGGGAAAGGAGGACAGACACAAGCACGAGCAACTTGGGCACACAGACAGGACGGCCCCTAACGCCCCGAGTCTCGATACCTGACAGCAGAGGTCTGGGGCCCAGGGAACGTTCCAGAACCTTGAGCTGACTCACTGGCCCACTGGTGTCCAGGCCACCCTCCCCACCCCCCGGGGAGGCCTAGGAGCCCCTGCATTCATATCCCCTGCTCCCCGCTTCGGCTGTCTATTCTCCCACCAGCCTCTCGAGCGGATGCCTTGGCTTCCATCAGAGCCCCAGCTCACCGTGTGCACCCTCCTCAGCGCACTCTCTGGCTGCAGGCGGCTCCTGCCAGAACGGGCCACATGGGCAGGCCTCACACCTCTCCCTCCTCACGGGGCCTTCGCCACTCGCCTCTAGCTGCCTCTTCGCCTTCTGTGTGGGACAGGTGGCGTCCTCATGGCTCCCTCACTGGGCCCTGCTCTCTTCCTACTGCCCTTGACGTGATGATGGTGTACCCCTCACCCCGCCTCTGTCACTCTCACCTCACACACCCCGAAGCCGGCCAACTGCACCCCATGTAATCTTGTCTGTCCCCCACCTGGAGGGGGCGCCCGACCCTGCCACTCATCCTTCTCTGTCCCCACTTAGGTCCCCACACAACGGGGTTCTTGGTGCTCCTGATGCCACCCTGTATGCCTCCTCCTACCTCACTGTGTCAGCTGCTCCTTATTGCTTCCGGTCTTTCCACCTGTGCTTTCTCCCCTCAGCTGCCTGACCCACCAATGGCTGCTTCTGTGCGCGAGGCCTCAGTGATACTCCATGGCCCCCCCCAGCTGGGCCACCCTAGCCTTGCACCCCGCTGACTGACACTCCCTGCCCCAGTCTGGGACCCTAGCCATCAGGCTGTCCCCCTGACCCCGTCTTGGTCCCTGGGCCCCAAAGTGCACTGGAGTCTTGCCCCTGAGTCCATTTCTCCGCACTCTGGCCTTCTTGCACCGACCAGGCATTGGGGCTGAGAGGAGAAGCGTGGGCACCAGACGGCCACCTGGTCACCCTGCCTCAAAGGTCCAGCAGAAAGGCAGCTGGACCGTGAAACCCACAGGCCTGATGTGGTCTTGGGTGAGTCACCCCCTCTGAGCCTCAGTTTCCTCACAGGTGATCTTTGCATACTTCTGGCAGGGTCTGCACAGCACCCCCCCCCCGCCCCACTCACCTGGTCTTTGGGTGCTGCTCCTGCAACTGAGGCGGGTGGCCCCCCACCCTGTGCCACACCCTCCACCACCCCACCCTGAGCACAGGGTGCACATTACCTTTGGTCTGGCTACTCTCCAGCGCCCCATCCTGCTGCTTGCCTACAACGGAACAGGAATGACAGACACGAAGGCTTCAGAACACCCAGGTGGCCCTGGCACATGCACACAGGACAGTGGCACACACACAGTGGGGCCAGGGAGCACGGTGCAAAGGGGCGGGGAGGAGGGCTCTGATGCCCTCTCTCCACCTCTCAGCACCCGGGAGCCACACTCTGGGATTCCCAGCCGGGGCCCCGGGCCTCCAGTGAACTCCCCAAGCCAGCCCTAGATGGACCCTCCCTGGGTCATGTGCGCCCAGCAGCGGGGGGGGGAGGTCTCTGAAAAGTCTACCGCCACAGGGAGTGAGAGCTGCCGGGTGCCTGGTCCCAGGTCCCCACAGAGCGGCATGAGCTGTTTGCCTAGGTGGTCCCTAACCCCTCGTGGCCTAGCGGTCAGCTTTCTGTGCAGCTAAGCCAGCAGTTAGCTCTGCAGAGTGCTTTGGAGGGACAGAGGAGGGAGACTCTAGGAACCTGCTGGCTTTGGATGCCCACATGGGTGCTGGGCACCCAACACCGGAGGGTGCGACGGTACATGGAATGGACTGGGCCTCAGCTGGACCTGTGTTTTGGGGGGAGTCATTCGTGAATGTGCTCTGCAACGTCAGAGCCTGCAGCTTGGTGTTGGGGACCTCAGCAGTGACCGGCTCCCAAGATCAAGGTAAATGGTGCTGACAGTGAGGCCAACGCTGTGCTCAGGGTCAAGCTCTGTACCCAGCTCCTCGGGCTTCATCTTCCCCAGGGCATCATGGTGGGGCATGGGTTCAAAGAGCTCTCTTAGGGGCCACACAAGTGCGAGCCCGGGGTCTGGAAATGACTGGCCTGCGACAGGAGGGGTTTGTTTGTGTGCTGACTTACCAGCCAGCACCCAATAACTCATGTCACTGGGGATCCAGGAGCACAGACAGGGTGCCAGGTGGCTCCAGGCAGTGGGGTCTAGTCTGGGGGTGGCAGGGAGGAGGGGGAGGCCCCCTCCCGGCTGGGTGGTATGTAGGTTGTCCCTCTGTGAGAGTGGGGAGGTTCAGAGGTGAAGGAGACTTTTGGGGGGAGAGGAGACACCTGTAGACAACACGGTGACAATGCAGCACAATGAGGAGCTCTGGGGCTGTGGTGCACCCAGAGAAGGGACAGACCCAGAGGACCTGGGCTTCAGAAGGGGCCAGGAAGGCCTCTGGAGGATGGAGGGACATGTGGGATCAGCACTACAGGAAGAGGAAAACAGAAGCCGAGGAGGGGGCGGAAGGGAAGGAGGGCACCTCAAGTAGAAGGGTGACCAGGAGTCAAGGCCAAAAGGCAAGAAACAGGTTGAAGGGCGGCAGGTGGCCTGGCAGCATGGGGCTGATAGCCGGGGTTGAGACGCAACATGAGTAGGGACGGGGGCCAGGGTGGGGCACTGGCTTGGCCACGGCAGCAGCCGGGCCTTGGGCTCACAGCTTGGCAGGGCCTGGAGCCTGGCCAGCTCTGCTCCTCTCCAGGGCTCCCTCAGGGTTCACCTCCTCCAGGAAGCCGGCTGGTGGAGGTGGCCCCTCTGACTCTTCAGTAGCTCAGCCTAGGGCAGCTGAAGTAGAGTGAGGGGCAGAGAAGCTAGAGCCGGGGAGGGGCCTGGGGGGACTGGCGGGGTTTTGTCCAGGTCAAAGAGGAGGGGCCCAAAACCAAGTCCTGAAGACCACCAACATTTCAGGGACCAGAGCTGGAGGGGGCGCGTCTGGGAAGGAGGGGGGAAGGGCACCGTGGCAACCAGCCATCACAGTGTTGATGGACGATCACCGGACCAAGTCAGCTAGGCTTCCCTGGAGAGAGGCGTGGGCACTCCAGCCCATCTGGATGAGGCCCAGGGCCCACCTGCCCACCCGCTCGCCTGCCTGTGGACCCCAGGGTGTTCACTGTGGACACAAACCGTGCTGAGCCCTGCAGGAAGACGAGGCTTGGTTCGGCAAAGGTAGGTGAGGGTCTGCTAGTGCTGGTTGGCTGCTGGGAGACAGGGCCCATGGGAGCTTCTAGGCCATAGCAGCTCGGCCATCTCCTCTCTCACTGCCTCTAGGAGCAGGGTAGTCTAGGGTTGGGGGCACTAGCACATCCTTCCTTATGCCAACCTGTCCCCTTGTTGCTTGTTTTCCCGGTCTCAGGGCCCGGACCGCCTGAGGTAGGGCTGGTGACTGGCACCCCTCTGCCTCACTGCCCCTAGGGGCCCTGGCTACAGGCTCTCAGCACACGCTCTCTCCACATGTGCGCAGTTTCTTTGTACTTCTAGTGGACCTCAGTGAATTCTCTCAGAGGTGCACATCTAGAAAATTCTGCTCCTCATCTGGTTTGACTGCAGGAGCAGCCTGAGGGAAGACCCAGGTTAGAGCAAGGCGAGTCGTGACCTGGTGCAGGCCTGGATCAAAGAACTCAACAGGGTCCTGACTGGTGGGATTGGGACTCTGGGAGGGGGTTTGTGCTGAGGACCGTTCTGTGGCTTTGTCAGCCCTGTTCTGAGGACTGGAGGAGACCCTGGCCACGCTTGGGGCTTAGAGCAGTGGCGAGAGGAGGCAGCGGGATGGCTGTGCACCAGGGAGCTGGACTCTCAGAAGACATCTGTCCCTTGACACTGTTTTTCCCAGGGCCCCCACCCCTTCCCAGCTTCCTCTGGCCCTGGACATCCTCTGGGGAGTCCGGTACATTCTGCTTGGGAGCCCTTTACCTCTGGCTTTATGACTCACATTTCCCTGGGTGCCATGTGGGCAGGACCCTCAGCACCTTACCACAGGGGTTCAGCACACCCAAGGGTGGGCACAGGGTCCCCGATAGCACTCTCCCAGGCCAAGGTGGCTGGTGTCTGTCCGTTGTCCGTCCAACCCCATTCCTCCCCAGGCAGGGCAGTCCCCCCACACTGCCCGAGGGAAGCTGTGGTTACACAGAACTGGGGGCCCCCTGACCTGCTGCCTCTGGGGCGAAGACCCCAGAAGCGGGTCCGCAAAAGGAATCAGAAGAGAGGGTATGGCCTCCCACCCCTCAGGGCTGGCTCTCCCTGCAGCAGGAGCTGGAGTGGGAATTAGGCTAGCGGAGGATGAAAGAAGAAAGCACGGGCTGCATAGAAAGAGACCCAGCCCCTCACTGGTGCTGGGAACTGGAGGTCACCGGTTCCTTACCTTTCTTCTCCTTCTTCTCCTCTTCCTCTCCACCAGCTCCAAGCAAAGTAAAGATGATTCCTGTCTGGGAGTTGACACCAACAGCAGTCACCACCATTCTTCCAGAACCTTCCATGACATGGGTACCTGGGAACACAGAGGGACCAAGACAGATGTGCAGTGCTTGAGGGAGGCATGGCTGAACACCTACAAGTCCCCCCAGGAATACCAGAAGCATGAAGTTGGTGTTTGGAGGCCCCTGGAGGCTATGTCAACCCTAAGCCTAGAATGGAGCCTCATTCCTGGCTTGGAGGGGACCTGGAGGCCCCCACAAGAGCAGCTGTGTGCCCAGAAGCACAAGGGGAGGTCTTCACAGGGTCCACCCGGGGCCTCCAGCCTCTGTCCTGTTTCACACTGCATTTGCCACTGGGATAAATACTAGGCTAAGCCAAAACCTTCTGGAAAGGGAACATTGCCCCCTCCCCTCCAACTGGCTCTTCTTAAGTGTCTGGGTTGAGGAGGAGCACAGCACTGTGCTGGCCCAGAGCCAATCCCCACCTCTAGGAGCTTCCCTCAGGGTATCAGGGGCCCTTTGGGGGTGGAGGGGGGCAAACCCTCAGACTCCCCAGCCAGAAGGGCTACTCAGGAGCCCCATGATCGAGGGGGTGACTGGGCCAAATGGCTTCCAAGGGTCTTTGGAGCTGAATTGGTCCAGAGGGCAGCGCCAGCCTGCATTCTGGCCTCCCCACAGCTTGGCCAGTGCCCCAAGGCCTCACCTGAGAGCAGCATGGGGTCTTTGTCCGCTGATTTGCGCACGTGGTCCGACTCGCCCGTCAGGGAGCTCTCATCGATCTTGAGGTCATTGCCTTGGATGAGCACGCCATCAGCAGGCAGCAGGTCTCCTAAGGCCAGCCAGGCAGCCAGAACCACATGCTGTGGGTCCAGGTAGTCTTCCACCCTGCCGCCTCCCACCTGCCCCAGGAGGGGTCTCGAACCTACGGTGTGGGGCCTTCTCCCTTCAGCTTCAAGCTCATCCTTTCTGGAGAAGATCTGTACCTCCAGCCCTGTCATCCAGCCCTCAAATCTCCCCCCATCAAAGCCTGCCTCCTGGCGCTTCGTCTCCAGCCTGAGCTCCCCCGGCCCACTGCTGCCCCTGCACACTCTCCCCCCCCCCCCCCCCGCAGGTGAAGGCCCATGTAATCCTGGGGGTAAAGCCTGTGCCCGAAGCACTCACCATACTTGACCTGTGCGATGTCCCCCACCACCAGTGCGGCCACCGGAACCTGCAGCAGCTGGCCATCCCGGATCACTGAGAACCTCTGCTCCTGCTCGATGCGGCTCTGCAGGCCCCGGAACTGCCTCTCCTTGCTCCAGTCATTGAAGGCCGTGACCAGCACCACACAGGTGACCGACAACAGGATGGCGGCTCCCTCGATCCAGCCTGCCTCGGCCTCCCCTTCATCTTCGGCCCCGGCCGACACATTCCCACATGCTGCACTCGAGGACGGCAGGGAAGGGTGGGGTGGCAGGAGAGTCACGCTGTTGCCCCTCGGTCAGGTCCCAGTCCCTCCCTCCTGCCGGGTCCTCCCCTGCTCACCCTCGCTCTCCTCTCCAGGTGGTGCATAGAATGAAAGGCCCAGGGAGACGATGGCGGCTACCTCCAGGATGATTAGGGTCACATCCTGCAGGGCCTCCCACACCAGCTGCAGGAAGGTCTTGGGCTGCTTGGGAGGGATGAAGTTCTGCCCATAGATCTGCCTGCGCTTCTCCAAGTCATTGGCATTGTTGGCCAGGCCTGTGTGGTGCAGGGGTGGAGGGCAGGGACACAGAGGAAGAAGATGGGAAAGGCCAACCGCACGAGGCCCTGCCCCTTTCTCCCCTGCTCGCCCAGAGTGCCTGTCTTGCTCTCTCCTGAAAGCCCCTGGAAAGTGGGAACTGCTCCGGCCTGGCACCCCGAGCCTTTCTGCAAACCCCGAGGACATGTATGTGGGCTCTGGCATGCGATCACATGACACACATGCATGAGGAACGGCTGGGTCATCCTCCTGATATGCTCAGGGAGGTCTCTGGGCTACACTGGGTCCCCTCAGAGGGCAGACGGGAAGGACGGTGATAACAGCCAACCTGGGGGGTGGGCAGAGGGGACGCAGCTGGGCCAGGGATGGCCAAGTGTCACCTGGAGACAGGAGAAGAGAACAGCCAAGACTTTCCCAGGAGTGCAGGGCTTGGTACAAGACTGGGGTGGAGGGCACAGGAGTGGCAGCCCGCTCTCAGCCGGGCCCAGGGTAGTTGATCTCCTGTGGGCTGTGAGTGGGCCAAGGTGCTCATACAATGCCTCCAAGGTCCAGAGGAGGAAACTGAGGCCAGGGAGGGAAAGGGCCCTGCGCCTATGAGTCTGAGCTCTTGCCAGCAGCCCGGGGCTCCTTTGCTGCCCTGCGCACCTGACCCCTAGGTCAGGATGACGCGAACATCACAGATGCTAAGCCATCAACAGGGGGACATGGCCAAACTGTGTGCGCAGGACACAGAGCCTTTGTCATCTGACGAGACCTGGAAGACAGTCGGCTCTAGCGGCCCAAATACGTTGTCAGTTTTGCCCATACTTTTGAGCATGGGCGTGGCAGCGTGGCACTGTGGCACCGAGGAGGTACGTGGTGCCCCCAGCCCTGAACTCTCATGGCCATCATCTGGAGACAGCTGCCTCCTTCCTAATGCTCTCCCTAGACCCCCCTGCAGTGCCAACCTCGAGCTCTGGGCTGGGGGTCGCCGTGAAGGGCAGGGATGGGATGTGGACTCCCTGCCTTGCCCACGCCCCCACCCACTGCCTCCTCTGGGGCTGCACACATGGCAGTTCGTGAACGTCTCTAAGGCTAATGGGATTGTCAGTGATTCATGCTGATGCCACAGTGTCCCCAGGCCACCAGGCAGAGGACAAGGAGAGTGAAAGGGCAAGAAGCCAGTCTCAGTGGGGACCCCTTGTGGCCAGAGCTGATGAAACATGGTGAAGGAAGGCGGAGAGGCTGAGGGGCCTGACCCACACTTCTAGAGCCCTAGAAGGTCCCCTCCACATCCCAGGCACTCTAGTGTGTTGGGGCTGGGATGAAGGGGTCAGAATTCACATCCACCAAGGGGCGAGCTCTGGCATTCAGAAGCTGGGCCCTTACCTTACTTCTCATTCTTGGGACAATCCACTTCCAACCCAGGCCTGCGCCAAGCCCTCTGGGTCTCTGCCTCTACAGCATGAGTCCCCTCAGGCCCATGCCTGAAGCTACCAGAAGTCTCCATGTGGAAATGACATCCAGGCCACCTCCTCCCAAGGCCAGACATCCACTTGGCCACCTTCCCCTGAGGCAGGCAGACGGGATGCAGTCCGCTGGCCCCGCCCTCATCCCTCAGGATGCTGTTTCCTTCTAGGCCTGTCCCCCAAGTGGTCAGCTCCACACTGACACCTGGTGGACAGACACTGGATCGCAGCTCCCAGTCATGAGGAGTTGCAACTCCCTTGGCTCCTGATGGGGGGCAGGGAACCACCAGCAGGGTAGATGGGGAGGGGCTCCCCAGCCTATGGCGGTGATCTCAGCTGGCTCGGGAAGGCACATAGGACCTGGCCCCCAGGCGACTTGGTAACAAGGAAGTGTTAAGTGGGGTGCAGAAGGAGTTGGGAGGAAGGAAGGTGGGTGTCCACTAGGCAGCGAAATAGGGCTTCTGGGGAGGGGCAGGGTGGGGCCCCCCAGAGGCTGAAGGCCTGACAAGGGCGAAAGCCCACAGCCGGCGCAGCCTGGGCACATGCCCGCACCTAGCGGAGCTGGGGCTGCCCCTGCCCTTCTCCCCAGGCCTCATGGTGCCTGGGTCCTGCCGGGGGCTCGAGTCTCTGAAGGCTGCACTTTTCCACCTGGGTGTCTGGGAGAAGCTCAGGACCTCAGCTCCTAGGGGCCGGGGTCCTAGCCGAGGGCTTGTGACCCACTCCTAACTGAGGCCTGTGTCTTTAAGCTGCAGGAGATGAAAAGTGAGGTCAGTACTAGGGAGGTGCTTGAACCCCCGTTCTCCCAGGTACCCAGAATTTCCACTGTGCCTGCCTTGAGGAAGGGCACTGATCTGGAGACCCTCAGGAGAGAGTCCATGGGCCCCGCCCCTGTGCCACCATAAGTCTGCCTCCTGCCTGCCTCACCCCACACACCAGCTCGTCCCCAAGGGAAGCCAGGCTCTTGGGGCCCCTCCCCAGGAGTGAGCTGCCTCCATTCCTCCCTTCCCACTGTCAGCCTGTGCCTTGGCCTTGGGTTGCCCTTGATACTCTAGCAATGCTTCTCTCTCCCTTGCCCTACACCAGCCCAAGACCGTGGCCTTTCTGTTGGGCTTGGGGGTCCCAACAGCTGCTCAGGTACTCATGTGGGGGCCAGAAGGTTGCTTCAAGCATGTGCCCGGTCAGCGGGCCCCCAACAGCGGCCCAGGTCCAGGTGCTGGGGCAGGGGCAGACAGGTTGGCATGGACACAGATGAGCGCCCTGCCCAGAGCAGAGGCCAGATGCCATCAGAATTGGATTAGGACCACATTGTGCAGCCCTTGGACAACCCGCCTTCTCCTTTCCATGACTGCTGGTAAAGGCCAGACAGGGGAAGGGCTGGGGCCCAGGTCCCCCTGGTGGGCTTACCACTGAGCTTGGCCCAAGACTCGGGTTCCCTGGTTTCTGGAATCCTCTTGGAGAGCTACAAAGCCTGAGCCCATTGATGTGCTTATTGCCGGGAACAAACAAAATCTCCCCCACCCCCCAGTACACCATGCACCTCCCCACATTCCCCACCCTTCCGAAAGCACCCACCTGCCAGCACACCTTGCCAGGGGATTGATGCGGGGCCCAGGGTGCGGCTAAGCCAGCCCCTCCCAAAGCTCAGGCCACTGTATCCGGGCAGGCGTGGGGACGTCTGGGTGAGCACTCCGGGGCCAGGTCGGCAGGTGTGCTGGGGGCCAGGGCCCCTGGGCTTGGAGTGGGGAGGGGTAGTCCTTGCACTGCTCATTCTTCAGGTTGCGAGTCGGGCCTGGCCGGCTCCCTCTGTTGCAGCCTGGACACCCACCTGGGCCCTTGCCCTTCTCCATGCCCGCCCCTCCACAGGCACCGGGCAAGCTCCAGAGCTGCTGTGGCAGAATCAGGCAGGTTCCCAGGGGCCTTGACATTTTAAATATTTAACAAGGCCTGACAGGCAGAGGAAAGAGCTGCCAGCTGAAGCCCATCTGCTTCCTTTTATCTGGAAGAGGCCAGAGCCCTTGTAGCTAAATGGCCCTCCACCCCAGCCTCCCCCCAACCCCAAATCCTGGGGGGGGGGGCAAGGAGGAGGGGAGGAGAGAGAGATCCCTCTGGCCCCGAGCCAAGCCATCTGCCCTGATAACACAACACACCAGGCTGGGGCCCTTTAGAGCACAAAACAAGAGAGACCCAGGTGGCCCTGGGAAGGCCACTTCGGCTTGGAGTTCCTGACCTGGTTGGGTGGGCACCCTCTCACCCGGCCCTTGGACCCATCTCCTCCTGGGTGGCCCTTGTCTATCCCCAGCTCCAGCCTGTATGCCGTCCACAGACAGCTGGGGCCAGGGAGCAGCAGACAAAGGTGACGGCCAGAGCCTGGGTAGATGAAGGTGTGACAGCTGAGACAGGAGCTGACGCGATCAATCAGCGCTGGCTGAGAACAGGCCTGGCACTGGGTTGGGACAGCCCTAGCAGCCCTGCCAGGGAGGTGCCGGCTAGGCCAGAAAACACTCCAACTCCCGGAATCTGGGGCCAAGCCTGGCTCCTGGTGGCCCCCACCTCCCAGCAGACCCAGCAGGCAGGAATGGGTAAGGCTGGTGCAGGGTAGGGCACAGTTTTGCCTGCAGTGCAGGGGGAAAGGGCTACAGGGCAGAGGCAGGGACCCAAGATGGCGGTCAGGCCTCTACCTCTAGAACCTTCTAGATAAACGTTCCTCAGCCTTCCTAAAGGCTCCGGGCAGCAGATCTCCTCAGATCTGTACTGCCTGAGGCTCACACCTCTTTGGCAGGTGAGAATTCTACTGCCGAACCACCCATGCACCAGGCTTGCTTCTTTGCTTCTTTGGGGAAGCCTGTGGCCAGTGGCACCTCCACCCAGCACTCTGCTCCCCCTTTCCAGAGAGAGAGCCCCCTGCAACCCAAGGCCTCAGAGGGCCTGCACCCTCGTATTGCTGTGCCCCTTAACTGGACACAGGGCTGGGCACAAGGCCTGGAACACACAGGCAGGGGCCCAGCCTTCCTCCTCCTCTGGGCATGGGAGGCTGTCTGATGTGTTGCCCAGAAGAGCTTCTGGGCTTTCAGTTTGGGGCCCAGCCCGTGTGTGCATGCTGACACCGTGCTATCTTCTTCCTTCCCCTTCTCTGTTGCTCGATTTCTATTTAATCTAAAGACGCGAGAGCAAGGAGCTACTGATTATGGAGGGGGTCAGGCCACAGCTCCCGGAGGACCCCAGGTTACCCGAGAGGATGACCCCCCCTCACCCCCCTACAGGGCATCTCCTGCTTGGCGGTGGCGGTGGGTGGGGGATGGCTACCTGGGGAGGGCACAGGCAGGGTCACCAGTGCCTCTAGCAGGCTGGGGCAGTAGCACTGCCCAGCCCTTGGCCAGGCCTGCCCCGGGGGTACGGGACATCATCAGGATGCCCCTTGAAGACTGGGGGGAGTGTCGGGGGCCTGTGACCCTACGTCCCTGGCACACTCGCGGCCTGCACTGGGGCTCTGCTGGGAGCCTTACCCTCTGTGGGCGAGGTCTTCAGCCTCCTGCAAAGCCCACTGACGTCCCCGTAGGCTTCCTGGACCTTCTGCAGCGCCTCAGCCCCTCGGAGCTCCATGAGGGAACGCAACTCGGCCAGCGTGCACCCAAAGCCGCCTGCATGGGGGGCCTCCCGCTGCTGCTGGGGCTTGGGGTGAAACTCGATGGAACTGTTGGCCATGTCGCCCATCCTGCCTGTCGTGCCGGGAAAACAGGGTGCCCGACCTCTTCACAGGTGCAGCCTCAGCTAGGGGCAGGCACCCGAGGTCCCAGTGCCTGGGTGAGGTGCGGTGGAGGGAGCTGCAGCGGGGCAGTGGCTGAGCACGGACACCTGGGGAGAGGTGAGAAGAAGCCAGGGGCGAAGTTGAGACAAAACTGAGGTCCACTCTTCCAGAACGTTCTCCGCAAATCTGCACTCAGTCTGAGCCATGACTTGCTGATTGCAAAATTTACCTCCTAGGCTCGGTCAGTGGCCCTCACGCCCTGGCTGGCCCAGCTGCCAGGCCGTCCCCTGGTCCTGCCCAGCCCGAGTACCCGAGGCAGGAGGACTTGACTAGGTGGGGGAGGAGGAAGCGTTAGGGTCTCCTGGAAGGGGCCTGCTGCCGCGAGCAGCACCCCGGCTGTGATACGGAGGCTCTAACTGCCTCCCAAATCCATCCGGGAACCCACACTGAAGCAGGGCTGATGTATTGGGGTTGGTTAGTGGCATGGGAGGGAGGGTTATCGGTGCGGCAATTCTCTCACGTCTGTGCCCCACCTTGGGTGCAACCCTGTCCACTCTGTCACGATCCCTGCTGTCGCCTGATCACTGCGCGCCCAGTGTGGTGGGCGTGCTATAAATGCCCTGCGGCGGCGGCGGCGGCGGCGGTGGTCTCCGCAGCTCACGGCTTCAGGCTTGGGGCTGCACGGGGGTCCAGGGAGCAGGACAAGCCATGGACGGGGCCAGCTGGGAGCCAGGTCAAGGCTTAGTGTGCAGGGTGTCTCTGCTGCCCTGAGGGGCTGGGGCAAGGAAGGGGGGTGGCCTGGAGGGAGGGGGCAAGGAGGGAGAGGGAGGGAAGGACGGGGAAGAAGGGGGTAAAGGGAATACAAGGGGAGAAGTGGAGGAGAGGGCACCTAGGAGAAAGTGGACAGCAGCCGCAGGTCACTAGTGACTTCCCCATTGGCCTGCCCACAGCACGGTGCCGTCCGCTCCCCTCCACACCCTTCTGCCCTCCAAGCGATGAATTAAGGAGTGTCCACAGCACACACAGACACATGCTGGGAGCATGAGTGCAAGCATCCCCACAAGGTTAAACTCCCAGGATTAAACTAGTGTCAGTGAACATGGCCTTGGCCGTCACGGTAGCGAAGAGGCCTCCCGACAGCATGGCTCAGTTGGGCCCAATCCTTTGTCTTTGGGGAGGTTGCTGGCTCCGAAGAATCCTCTGGGAAGCAGAACTTGGTTACAAATCCAGGTTCCTGATCTAGAACCGCCCATGGAAATACCACGGCCCAGAGTCTATGGCCTCTGCTCTCAGGAGAGGTCCCAGCTGTTACTAAGAGCCCAGCGGACACCAGCAGCCGGGGGCAGCACAGCCCTCAGGGGACAAGACCAGGGTGTCTGGGAGAAAAGAGCCACTCCCCATGCCTACAGCCCCCAGGGGGCTCAGGGCATGTGGGGGTCTTAGTTCCTCTGGACGCTTGACGTTGCGACATCCAGAAAAGGTGCATATACCTAGGGCAGCCCCACCCATGAGACCTGGGACACAGAGAGGCACTTCAAATAATGCCCATCCAAAATGATCCATGTTTTGTAAGTGTGGGCACCTAAGTGTTAATCCTCTAGACGCTTTCCACATGGAGCAGCCTTCGGTGCCGGAAGATGTGGGAACAAAATGGCAGACACGAGAACGCGCTGTCCTTTCCACTCCCACGCATCTTCCCACTGCCCGTCCTTCCACTTTGTCATCTACTATATGCCTGCACTGGCCATCCGTGCTGGGGACACAGAGGTGACAGCACTGAGTGCGTTCTTGTGCTCTCTGGCTTGGAGATGAGTTGTCAGCAGGTGACAGAGTGATGGACAAAATGGTTTGTGCTGGGGGTGGGGGCGGGGAAGGCCTCGTGGCAGGGGCACATTGGTGAGAAGACCAGAACGAGGGGGAGGAGTGAGCCTGACGCTGCGGAGAAGGTAACGGGCCAGGCAGGGGGCAGCGGCGGCAGATCCCATGGGGCCACAAAGGACGTGGGCCATCACCAAGCAGGAGGCTGCTGGGTGACGACAGGCCGGAAGGGCAGGAGCCGGGGGATGAGGGAGGGGCTGCAGTCAGTCGGTAGGTCATTCTGCACGTGAGGGTAAGGGCGGAGGCAACGCAGGTGACCCTGGGCTCCGGGGCTGTGTGGGGCAGCGGGGCACCCAGAGCCTCACGCAAGCGAAGCTTTCATTTCTATGGCGCGTGAGGCTCCTCCTGGGGTGCTCCGTGACTGTAGGGGGGGGCCCTCGGGATCACTGTCCTGTTCCCCAGCTCGGGAAACACGCTTGGCCAGATCAAGCGGGAGACCTGCCTATCCCGACCCCAGGCCGTCGCAGGAGCCAGCGGAGGCAGCGCTGGCAACTTTGACCTCTCTAGATGGCCTTGGGTACTGGCCCACCCCTGCCTTTGCCCTTCCGGATTCCATCCTCAGTCCAGACTGTTGCTCAGTGCCCCTGCTGGGTACCCCTTCTCCCCTCTTTTCCCGGACCCCGAGTGCCACTACCACGCCTCTGCCTTCTCAGATACGGGGCGACTTGGGTGAAACTCGCGGCATTGGACCCTGTGGCCCCAGCTCCCTGGCCTGTTGGCCGCTGGCCAGCAGGGACGGGGCGGGTTCGCGCGCGGAGACACAGAGCCCTCCGTGGGTAGGTCCTAGCACACTGGGCTGCTGAAAGAAGACCAGGCAACGGGCTGTAGGAGTCCCTGAGGTGGGTGGTGGGGAGTCCGCTGCCCCTGCGCACAGCACCGTGCCCCGTCAGCTCTGCCACGTAGGCGCGTCCCCCCAGGCTGAGGGCCTGTGGGCTCTGACGCCCCTGCCACGCAGGCCACCGGCACCCCAGACCGGGCACCTAGGTCCGGGAGGCTGCCCACGCGCCTGCGTGGCCCCCACTGAGCTGCCTCAGGGCGCAACGGGGGCTCTTTCTAAAAGGGAAGTCACAGGAATGGTTTTGTTCCTTTGGAACCCTTTAATCTTTCTGGCATCTAGACCCTTTTGGAGAAGGCTCAGCTAGAAGGCGCTCAGCCCCACCTGTACGGCACCGGAGGGCTCCTAGGGGGACAGAGTGAATGGTCCATAGCTGGGTGGGCTCTGAGGCAGATGCTGGGAGACGGCGGCTCGTGCGGGTGGGGGTGGGGGCCACACCTTCACACACCGGCTCCTCCCCCCCCACCCCCCCCCTCCGGCACAGGCCTCCCCCACCCACTCCCTGCAAACAGGGTTCACGGAAGGTGAGCTCCATCTTCGCCTCCTGCTCCCTACTCTGCTCCCAAGCGTGGCCCTGCCCTCAGTTGAGCAACAGCCGTGGCCCAGACAGTCACACAGGGTCCTTGAGCTGCTCCTAATTGGTGTGCTGTCATCACTGCGGCCTCCTGTGCCTGTGGTGACTCATGGTAAGGTTGCCGGGCAGGGAGGCGAGGCCTGCCCTTCTGTGGGACGCGCAGCACTCCCGCCCTCACCACCGCCTCTAAGCTGGCCCTGCCGCTCCCCTGCACTTCAGTGTCCCCTGGCACCCTGCCTGCAGCCGGGGCCCGCTCCCTCTCCCTCACCCCTCTCCGAGCAGGCCCCATGTCGCTGTCTACCACCTCACATGTTTCCCTCGAGCGAGGCAGCCTATCACCACCCGGCCCTGGGTCACCACTCTCCCTGGTTCAGGTGCTGCCCCTCTCTGTCTCCCAGCTGTACTGGCCTCTAGAAAGCCACACACCCGGCTTCAATACCCCCCCCTGCTCCCATCGAGCCAAAAGCCGGCTCCTCTCCTGCCCCCGCCTGTGCCCCACACCCCGTTACCCGCGTCACCGCTCACCTGGCCACGCGGCAGGCAGAGCCTTGCCGGCTCCAAGTACTCCATATGCGCCCTGCCCCGCACAGCCTGCTGTCCCCTCTCCACCTGATGACCTCTGACGAATTTGAGTGGCAATTCAAGTGGAACATTCTCCAGAAAGTCTGTGCCAGAATTGATCGCTGCTGAGTCTATAATCCGCCGATTGTTCCTATTGCTCTCTGCTTGGCATGGCAGCAGCCTGCGCGCGCTTCTCTCTTGCTCTCAGGGGTGAAAGCTTTTTGAGATGTGTGGTTATGGAGTTGGCAGGAAGTCCATTGAATGGTCAGCCCTGGCTGGGGACGGGGACCCGGAGGAGAGGGCGAACAGGGGCCTGACTGGCCAAAGACCAGGGAGTCTGTCTGGCGGGGAAGTGGATCGCCTTCGTGGAGAGCATGAGAGTGGGCGCAGGGATGTGGGGCAGGGACGCCATGACCCCCAGCAGGCCACTCTCAGTGTGCCTGGGGCCTCCACACAGCTCTAGAGAGCCCCTCAAGTCAAACACCGTGCTGGTGCTAACCTTCCTTAGTCTTCATTAACTCTATAGGTCAGACAGGAGCCATCAGTTAAATCAGTCTGTCTTGAGTGACTGTTGACTGCTGTGGAGAGCAAATGGCATATACTCTTGCTTTCTCTGGGTTTTCTGTGAGCTTGGGCAATCGCCTCCCTCATTCTTAATAAGGACAGCAGCCATCACTGAAATGGCCAAGAACAGAAGTGACCAGGCCTATCAGTTCTGCAGGCCTGACAGAGGCTTTTCGGCCTGGGCTAGCTGCCTAGAACAGTTTGTAGGCACTAAAAGTGCAGGAAATGTACCATTTTGGTAGTTTTTCATCTTCCAGACCTTAATTGCCTTAATTGAATTGCAAACCTTCACAGGGACGGACTCACACCTTCCGATATTTGCTCCGTCGTGGCAGCAGTTGGCCGGCACGGCGCAATGGCGAGAGTAGAGATCTGTAGTGGGTCCCCTTGCTCTGTGACTTTCAACAGGCTGCTCCCTCAGGGTGTTGCCAGAGCACTGCGGGAGACCGCCCAAGTTCAGACCTGTCACCCAGCTGTGTTTGCAGCCTTCCCTCCAGTGTGGCCTGATGCCTCCGGTCCGTGGGCCCACTGACTCACGTCCACCCAACCAGAAA